GGTGGTAAGTTTTTTAAAATCCAATGTGTGGATCACATAATATTTCAAAAATTTTAACTTTTGAGTATAGATGATCCACACTGTATTATTTTTTGTTTGTGGAATATTTTTATTATGTGTAAATACATTGAAATGGGAGCAATTATCAATTTAATTATGATAGCAGAATAAATAGTTTCCATCTGGTTGTAAAAGAGCAGTGGTTTTATTAAACTTCTTAACTTTTCCTAGTAGATGGCCAGTAGGATGATTTGTTTCTTTAATACTTGGTTCTATATCAACATACATTTTACATCACCAAAATCTTTCAATAAAATAAAAAGGGATCTCTAAATAATACCCAATTTATATATTGGAATAACTTTCCTTTCACTAGTGATAATTCATCAGTTTAACAGCTTATTATCAATACAAGATATAAATAAAGTAAACAATTTTATATTATTTATTATATATTACATTCTATATATTCTATAGTATGAATATTACAAGTAAAATTTTTAAAATTTAAATCGTTCTCGCCAACTTCTTCCTCTAATATAAACCAACACTAAAATTAAGATGCTGGCAAAACACATTCCGCTCAAGAGTGTAAATGCCCACCCAGTTCCCAAACGTGTCTCTATTGTGGATGCCAAAATTGATAAAGTGCCAGCTGCCAACAAGCATATACAATTGCTCAATGCTATGATTGATGCACTTTGACTTGAGAAAACGTCAACCAAATAGGTTGACATTGAATTATAAATTACTTGAGTACCTAGTGATACTATATATGTAATACATATAATAATACATGTGTTATTAATAATCATAATATACAACATAACATAATATAATAATATAAATAAATAACATACCAAAAAACCAAGCAATCAATGGACCAGCCATATAAAATTCTTTTTCGACCAACCAACCATAAATTAAATAAGAGGTCAGTATTAACACAGCACAAATCCAAGCACTATGAATTCTCGTTTCTGGATGAGTAGTCCCTCTTTTATCTTTTGCTTGTCTCATCACAAGATCTGAATATCTACCACCAATAAAACTGCCAATCATAAATCCAAAACCAGGTACAAAGAACAATAGACCGATTTGTGATGAGGCTAGATGATATCTGATAGCAAAGTTGACAGGTACACTAATAAATTGAAGTTGAGTTATTGACGTCACAATGCAAATATAAATGATCATCAAAGTTCCGCTTGGATAACATAACAATTTAAGCGGTGCAAGTGGATTAAATCGATGTTTTGATTTAATATTCTTGTTATGATCGTTAGGAGAAGTGGATGTTTCAGGAACAAAGATCATCACAAGTAATAAATTTATTCCACCCAAAATTGTTAGAAACCAAAAAATCCATCTCCAACTAGTATATTCAGTAAAGTAGCCTCCTATCATTGGGCCAAGTAATGGACCAGTCCAGTAAGCCATATAAAAAAATCCATATGCAGTTCCACGTTCTTTTTGATTTTTGGAATGGAGAAAAATGACTATATATAAATGTTATGTATTTTATATTTTAAAAAATATCAAAAATCGTAATAATCAAATTACCATAAGTAGTATAAAGATCACCAATAACACCAGCTCCTATTGATAACATAGCAGAAGCGCCAAATGATTGTAAGCCCCGGCCTAACAATAATAACCAGATATTTGATGGAATAACGGCACACATTATACTTGATAGAATAAATATAGATATAGTTATGAGATAGACATTTATTCTCGAGGAAAATCTATCAGAATATGCGGCCCATCCAAGTGGCTAATTAATTAACAATAACAATAATTAGAATGATTAGAATGCAGTATTTAAATCAATAATAACAATAATGATGATTGCTTACCGCAATTCCCATAACATACACATAAACTGAAACTAAATTTATTTATAATAAAATTAACTAAATTAATTAACAATATATAATATATATATATTAAAAATTTAGATTTTTTGTTACCTAATGCGTTAACCTGAATATCAGACACATTAAATTCTGTATGTAATTTTATTAATACAGGATACAAAATACTTTTTTCATAAAAAAGTTTAATAAATAAAGTTTGTTTTAATAAAAATAAAAATATACTTACGAACTAGATATTGGAGAAGTCATTGCAGTAAAAGAAATCACTAAAAGTATAATACGTTTTCTAAATATTGACCAATGTTTAGGATCATTATTGATATCCTGATCATTTAATGTAGTTGACAACGATTCATTATCACCATCTACAATAATAATGTTGCCTTTGTTATTCATCTTTGGGGATAAATTTTTTATTGTGGATCTTTGTAGGAAAAAAACCACATTTTACTGCTATTATATATACGTTTGGATTTTTGTTGACTTATTATGATAATTTCATTTTTAATTGACAAAAGAACACCGCATAAATAAAATTATAATAATTAATGCATTTTTTCATTCTTTAAACTTTCATTTTACTCTCATTATTTAGTAGATCTATCCTTCTCCACAATACCATATTTTCGTTTGTTTGTTATTTTTGAGTGACATGTCAAATTATCTGATTATCATTATTACGATCAGTATTTTAATATTTAAATAATATAGAAATAAGTATATTTGGCTTATGTATTCTAATAATATCTGGTAAATTTATTTTTCCTTTTTGATATTCTTTTTATCTGTATTTGTTCTAGAGTTCCAAATATAGTATCGAATATATTAAAAATATACTAAATTCATACGTTCAATAAACTCAATACGCATCTTATCTTTGGACGTAGAAAATCAATTGTTTTAAAAGTACTTTTTAATTTATTCATTTATGTAGATTGTAGATCATTGATACAACTAAAAACAACTTATTGAAAATGAATTCAACAAATAACATCAATTTATTAAATATACTAACAAATTTTCAATTCAAACGAATTTAGTAACGCAATAAATTAAAATCCGGTTTAAATCCGGTTGCTATTACATAATAATAATTTCAAATTTTTTATTTTTGATAGTAAAATCGTGCAATTTCAAACCCTAAGGCCTTTTTTTTATTAACAAAATTGAAAAAACGTTCTATTGCATTGTTGCTTAGGTTCTAGAGATTGTAAAAACATAGATTTTTTTCTGCTTCCAAATATAATTATCGAGCCTTAGCCTTTTAAAGATTGGCTTTTTTTTATGTATTGTTTATTTTTTGTAATTCTTAAAAAGGCAATTTTGAATTATTTGTTCAAAAAAAGTCATTGACCAATTTAATCAATTGTAATTGCATTTTAATTAATTGTGGCTGCAGTCAGTAGAGATTCAATTCCGTACACTATTTTTTTTGCTCCGTACATTTTTTATTTTTAATTTTTTAATTTTGTACGGAACGGAATTTGTGAATTTTGAAAAGTTGATTGGTGGAGGCCAGTCCGTTTTTTATTTTTAATTTTGTACGGAACGGAATTTGTGAATTCTGAAAAGTTGATTGGTGGGGCCAGTCTGTACGATCTTCGATTCCATATTTTTGTTTCATACAGAGCATTTTTTACTACAGAGGCGCAGATGTACGGAATACGGAACCTCTATAGACTCATTAAAATTAAAGACCAACCAATAGAGCTGGTTTTTTTGGAGTGATCTACATTTCACCGAATTGTTTTCTCGAGAGCAAGCAAACAATCGATTGAAAGGGAGAAAGAGAATCTTTTTTTTTCTTTTTACTATGGGTAAAACAATGAAGATACATGAGTCGCGCACAAAAAGAAAATGACTGCCCCCTAGTAAACTGATAAATTCACCATGAAACCAACCTTTCACCGTTACTTACTAAACCAGGCCCTAAAAATATTAAGATTTGACACCTGACATTTAAACATAGATAAAAGCAAATGGTTATTACCCATTGTAATAATCTAACGGGAAGCCACCTTTTGCTATTGCAGATTTATACCCTCAGACCATTTGATAAATTGTTTGTGTCTCTATTGAGGCTACTAGAGGAGCTGTTGGTAGAATTTCATTGTTAATTTTTCTCTTTTAGTAATATTTCTAATTTAATAATTTCTTCACATGTGGGTTTCCAAATGTGGATAAAGAGAATCCTGTATTCAACGATTTATCAGATTCTAAATAATTTTTGAATATGTAAATTTATTAATAAAATGTGCCTGAAAAATCTTTTTTCATTCATCATATATGGGATTTAGACTAGGAAAATCAACCTCTCAGCTGATTTTTTTATTTTGTGTTATCTTACTTAAATTATACAAGGATTACAATTGGAGAAAAAATTGGATCTTGTTTGCATAGTAGAGGAATGAGATATAGGGCTTGGAATACTTTCTTTGTATATTAAAAACATGTGTAACCAATTTTAAAATAGATTTTTGTCTGAGGGGTCGATTTTCCTAGTCCAATTCCCATATTTTACTTGCATAGGAATAAGAAGAAAGCGGTCTATACCCGAAACAAATTTAAAGAGGATGGACCCTTTGATGAATAATTGAAATGAAAATGAAAACTTTCTCTTGAAGGAAGTCAGATTACCATTTAAGAACGATAAAGATGGCTCTTTTAAAGTAAAGCTTGATATTAATTTTTATGATATGTATTTTGTAAGCCTATTATCTTATCCCGATGAGGTTTATTGCTTTCTCCTTGTATTTGAATTAGTTCATAACAAAAATGTCAAAATCATGTAAAGTTTTCAGCATCATGTTTTTAAATCATGGTCACTTTCTATTCATTAATACTGTACATTTTGTTCATTTGCTACTCTTGATTCTGCATATTAGATTTGATAAGATGAGTGTAAATTGACAGAACAAGATATACAAAAATTTGTCTCGAGATTTCTCAAATAGTATAGGATAAAAAAATATATCTGCTTCAAATAATATTTTTTAATGTATTTGTTCATATTTGGAATTAATATGGTAATAGTAAAGATAAAATATATTACTTATAAGGAACGTGGAATTGAAAATTTTTCCAACGTTTCCGGCGTTTTTATATCTAATCACATAAAACTATGCGGAACATGGAGGCTATATACAAAAGGAAAGAAGTTTTATAAAAAAACACCATTATGACGCATGCTGATCCATATTGCATATACATTAAGTGTCTAGAAGAACATGTAATTGATATAAAAACCGATTGGTTACACGGTTCGGAATTTATAAATGATCAGGAATATTTGATTATTGGATAATTTATAGATGCTGAAGTGTATTATTGCTTCAAGCTCAAATCCCTAAATCGTTACAATCATTCTCATCTTATAAAGCCAAGCTGACGTTCCCAATGATACAAATTTCGGGGGGAGCATGGGAAATTTATGGAAGTCGCATCATTGTCAAGGAGACTACCAAGTAAATATTGTCAGAACTGAAAACTTCTACCTGTGGTTAAGCTTCTTTCCTTCCGATATGTTTTCAATTTATCACCCATGGAAAAGATCCCATGGTTGTAAGAGACATGCTTTTGCATGTTTGTAATTTGAAACTTAAATCAGTGATTTTTACAACTTGTATACAATTGTGAAGCACACATGCATCCATGCATGCAAAAAAAAGAAGTTTTGACTACTAAAAATTTTCCACTATCACTTGGATGACATTGTGATGTTGTTAGATGTAGGTTTCCTTGTTGTACAGCTTGATGAATCGATATTCCTAAACATAATATATATATATAATTTGTTGTTTATCAATGATGTATTATCGTTAATTGTGTGCTAATTTGATGCTATGAAATTGCACGCCATTGTAAAATTAAGTAAATCATAAATTTTTTTACCCGAAGAATTATCAGCTGCTTCATTGTTGTCATCACTATTTGTTATTTTAGAATTAGTTGCAGCAATATTAGGTTTTGGCGTGCTGTTGCTGCTGCTGTTATTAACGGTGTCTACTTGTTGTGTATTTATTGCCGTTCCTAATGTTTTTCCTTCATTATTTTCCGCAGTTCCATCTTTTGATGGTGACATGATACAAGTATATACTTGTTACTAACTTCTCTTTAAAAAATGTCTAAAGAAATGAAAATTGCAATTTTAGAATTTTAGAAATTTTTGGTTGCCAATCTATAAGGAGTTAGACATTTTGTATGTGATACAAATTTGCAATACAACATATTTCCAATAATATGGTTGGCTCAATCAAAATTTCATTCAAAAATGCAATAATAATAAAACTTTTAAACGGACTTCACGTGATTTTGGTTGAAAAAATTATTTTCCTTCCTGCCAAATTTAGATATGATTGTTGATTATTAGTCTAAGTTTAGTAACGATAATCTAAAACTAATCTAAGTTTAGCGATGATTTAGCGCTACATATATAGTAAAGTACATGTTTTAGAAAAGAATAGAACTCTACAAATAATTTTTGAGAAAATCTCTATTACATTAAAATTCAGTCAGTAGAGATTCAATTCCGTACAATATTTTTTTTTTGTTCCGTACATTTTTTATTTATATTTTTTAATTTTGTACGGAACGGAATTTGTGAATTCTGAAAAGTTGATTAGTGGGGGCCAGTCTGTACGATCTTCGATTCCATATTTTTGTTTCATACAGAGCATTTTTTACTACAGAGGCGCAGATGTACGGAATACGGAACCTCTATAGACTCATTAAAATTAAAGACCAACCAATAGAGCTGGTTTTTTTGGAGTGATCTACATTTCACCGAATTGTTTTCTCGAGAGCAAGCAAACAATCGATTGAAAGGGAGAAAGAGAATCTTTTTTTTTCTTTTTACTATGGGTAAAACAATGAAGATACATGAGTCGCGCACAAAAAGAAAATGACTGCCCCCTAGTAAACTGATAAATTCACCATGAAACCAACCTTTCACCGTTACTTACTAAACCAGGCCCTAAAAATATTAAGATTTGACACCTGACATTTAAACATAGATAAAAGCAAATGGTTATTACCCATTGTAATAATCTAACGGGAAGCCACCTTTTGCTATTGCAGATTTATACCCTCAGACCATTTGATAAATTGTTTGTGTCTCTATTGAGGCTACTAGAGGAGCTGTTGGTAGAATTTCATTGTTAATTTTTCTCTTTTAGTAATATTTCTAATTTAATAATTTCTTCACATGTGGGTTTCCAAATGTGGATAAAGAGAATCCTGTATTCAACGATTTATCAGATTCTAAATAATTTTTGAATATGTAAATTTATTAATAAAATGTGCCTGAAAAATCTTTTTTCATTCATCATATATGGGATTTAGACTAGGAAAATCAACCTCTCAGCTGATTTTTTTATTTTGTGTTATCTTACTTAAATTATACAAGGATTACAATTGGAGAAAAAATTGGATCTTGTTTGCATAGTAGAGGAATGAGATATAGGGCTTGGAATACTTTCTTTGTATATTAAAAACATGTGTAACCAATTTTAAAATAGATTTTTGTCTGAGGGGTCGATTTTCCTAGTCCAATTCCCATATTTTACTTGCATAGGAATAAGAAGAAAGCGGTCTATACCCGAAACAAATTTAAAGAGGATGGACCCTTTGATGAATAATTGAAATGAAAATGAAAACTTTCTCTTGAAGGAAGTCAGATTACCATTTAAGAACGATAAAGATGGCTCTTTTAAAGTAAAGCTTGATATTAATTTTTATGATATGTATTTTGTAAGCCTATTATCTTATCCCGATGAGGTTTATTGCTTTCTCCTTGTATTTGAATTAGTTCATAACAAAAATGTCAAAATCATGTAAAGTTTTCAGCATCATGTTTTTAAATCATGGTCACTTTCTATTCATTAATACTGTACATTTTGTTCATTTGCTACTCTTGATTCTGCATATTAGATTTGATAAGATGAGTGTAAATTGACAGAACAAGATATACAAAAATTTGTCTCGAGATTTCTCAAATAGTATAGGATAAAAAAATATATCTGCTTCAAATAATATTTTTTAATGTATTTGTTCATATTTGGAATTAATATGGTAATAGTAAAGATAAAATATATTACTTATAAGGAACGTGGAATTGAAAATTTTTCCAACGTTTCCGGCGTTTTTATATCTAATCACATAAAACTATGCGGAACATGGAGGCTATATACAAAAGGAAAGAAGTTTTATAAAAAAACACCATTATGACGCATGCTGATCCATATTGCATATACATTAAGTGTCTAGAAGAACATGTAATTGATATAAAAACCGATTGGTTACACGGTTCGGAATTTATAAATGATCAGGAATATTTGATTATTGGATAATTTATAGATGCTGAAGTGTATTATTGCTTCAAGCTCAAATCCCTAAATCGTTACAATCATTCTCATCTTATAAAGCCAAGCTGACGTTCCCAATGATACAAATTTCGGGGGGAGCATGGGAAATTTATGGAAGTCGCATCATTGTCAAGGAGACTACCAAGTAAATATTGTCAGAACTGAAAACTTCTACCTGTGGTTAAGCTTCTTTCCTTCCGATATGTTTTCAATTTATCACCCATGGAAAAGATCCCATGGTTGTAAGAGACATGCTTTTGCATGTTTGTAATTTGAAACTTAAATCAGTGATTTTTACAACTTGTATACAATTGTGAAGCACACATGCATCCATGCATGCAAAAAAAAGAAGTTTTGACTACTAAAAATTTTCCACTATCACTTGGATGACATTGTGATGTACAATTGTCCTGTGTGGGAAAGAGGACATGGATTAAAATCCAACGAAACATCATTCATGGTTTAATTTTCCAATTCTGCTTGTGAGGACATTGTGTGGCTTTCCCAAAATTGCTTCCTTGGAATTTTTGTTTCTAGTATTATTATCATTATTTGGGTGATGCAATTTATCAATTTTATTTATTTATTAATTTTTTACAAATTTTAAGAACAGTATATAGCATCATGAACATTATAACACTATAATCAACATATACAATAATGGGGACAAAGGTATTATTCACACAAGAAAAGATAGGTCATGCTTTATTCTACTAAAATATATAATTAATATAAGAAAAAAATTACCAGAGGAATTGCATAGAAGGAAAATACTCAGATCCAAAACTATTGATGAATACTACTTATTTCTTTAGTCACTCTGGTGCAATTTATCATTGTTGCTAGTAATATCATTATTACCAACATCACTAATTTCTCTTTCTTTTTCATTTCTTTATCGAATGGTTTCAATGGTTTTCTTAATTTAATTAAGCATCTCAACTTTTTGTAGGGTAGAAAAGGTAACTAACTACCTCATGTCAACGTTTTGGAATGAATATTATGACAGATGGAATGAATATATAAGTGCGAATTTGAAGAAAATAGTTACAGAGTCAGACAGAGTTAAGGATCATGGCTTTGATGAAGAAGATGACTATTACCCATCAGATATTGCAACAGGTGATAGAGTGGTTGGAATTGATTTACCTTGGAAAAAAAAGAGCTGTTGCAGTAGATGGAAGAAAAGAGAATTGTTTTAATTGTTCTACATAGGTTTATTAGGGCTAGGAAGAAGAGGAAGGTCTGGGTGAAAAATATTGAGCTGTAAGTTATGATCTTATTTTAATAATTATTTAACTTTTTAATATATATGTATTTTTTATCTACATAGCTATTCCAATTTCTTCATGTTCATCTGTTAATCATTATCAAAATTAACTTAATTATGTTCTTCAACACATGAACCCTCACTTGAATTCTATGGCATAAGATGATATATGATGGAAAACCCCACATTTCAAAACAAAAAACATCTATTATAGAATTACAGGAGGAGATGCAAAGGTGAGAAGCTACATATGGTGATAGAGGATTTTCAAACAGTTTACTGGGTCATGCTGCATCACTAGTAAAGAATATGTATAGGGAATTAAAAAAAAGATGTCGAGCACGTTTAGTTCATGAGTTTAGAACAAGTAGAATTTGTTTATTATGTAAAGGGTTGTTTAAAGGATATCAATGGTTCTGGTCAGTTCGAATATGTGAAGACATATGAAATATATATTTATCTATTATTATTATTTAATTACTCGTGTAATATTAAATTAATTAGCCTGGAACATAAAGATCTTCTTGTCAATGAATTCCGGTGCCTGTTCCATTTAATTAGGAAGGATATGTTTGTTGATCTGGGTTATAACTTCATTTTGCTCATCTAGGTCATTCATTGACTGCAAAGGATAGCCTCCCATGGAGATTGGCTGTAACTTGCTTAAGCAACAGATTTATTGCAAAATAATTAAAAACCAACTCATCGCCAGAATTTATTTATGACATTAGGTGGGCGCTTTGTCCCAATTAAATTTATAAAATTTATAAATAAATAGATTTAAAAAAAATAAAATACAAGTTAAAATATTTTTACAAGCATCACCGATTTGGTGAAAAGGCTTTAGCAGCAACCATACTTTCTAATCCTTTGTCAACATCATTATTATGATTTTTAATCTTAATAATATCACTTAACTTATTTCTAACAACTCTATTACCAACTCCTCCAAACCCAAAAGCTGGCACAATACGAGCAATTCTGCTAATTGTGGACATTAAATAATTTTTGATTATAAACTTCAATCTGGAACCATTTGAAGCACTTGGTCTATTATATAAATCTAAACCTAATAGATGGAGATTGGTCGAGAAAATTTGAATCATTGCAGGACATGTTAACTGTGCTAAATTTATGGCATTCTCGGAATTTTGGATGATTTGTCGTTGGTGCAATTCATTTGCTAACTTTTGTGGAAGATTAAAGCTTGCACCGATAGTCATAGAGTCTCTGGCTGCAAATAATAAATAGGTTGTCATCGGTAAACCTTTAGGCGCAACCGTACCAAACATTCTGGTGAATTGACGATCTTTATAGATGCATGTTGTCATATTAACAATTGTTGTGCCCATAAATTTTCCTATTTCTTTACTTTTCTGACTTTGATTATTAAAGTAACAATGGCTTATTGTATCAATTGTGTTGGCTGTTATGTAAGTTGAAGAGTAGACGAAAAAAATCAAACCAAACGCTGGATTTCGTATAAATGCGTGAGGTTTTGTTAGTAAATCACGGAATCCTTGTTTAAGAGAAGCACTTATTGAGTTACGACCACTAGCATTTTCTACAATAGATCTATCGTAAAAAACAATGATGAATTAAACATATACCTTTGTGTGAGAAAAGATCATAAATTACTTTTTTTTCAAAGCAAACTTGCGACAACAACCTTGAGACATCTTTATTTTATTTTATTGTTATTATGTTCATGATTACCTATCAATGATTGTTATAAAAGGTGAAACTCCAAAAGCAGCAGCAACAGCAGCGGTAACATCTATTCCTAATCTTCTTCCAATAAAATTTTTTTCAGTCATTATAATAATATTATAATTTATTTTTTATTATTTTTTTTTAGAACGCGGAATATAATTTGCTATATAAACAATAATAATAATAATAGATTTATGTTTATGTATACTAATTTTTTATTTAGCAATTTCTTTGCAGATCTCTGATAATCTCTAATTTTTTTTTAAAATACACAATAAAAAAAAAGACTTTTACTACTACTTTTATGATATTATTTATAAAATTACAAACGATCAACATTCCCCAAATCTTTGCAAGCTTCTTGAACGCGTTTAGCCATAGTCTTTTCAGCCTCACGAATAAAAACTCTTGGATCATAATATTTTTTGTTAGGTTTATCATCACCTTCAGGATTACCAACTTGTGATTGAAGATAACCTCTTTTGGAGTCATGATAATTTTTTATTCCTTCCCAATATGCCCACTGTGTATCAGTGTCAACGTTCATTTTTATCACGCCATAGCCTACTGCTTCTTTAATCTCATCTTTAAGACTTCCACTACCTCCATGAAATACAAAAAAGACAGGCTTGTCATTTTTGGTGCCTAATTTCTCTTTAACATGATCTTGATGTTTTTTAAGTAAAATTGGTGATAATTTAACATTTCCAGGCTTATAAACACCGTGGACATTACCGAATGCGGCAGCTATGGTGAAAAGATCAGTGACTTGACTCAATTCACGATACACATCCCAAATGTCTTCAGGTTGTGTGTATAAATGTGAATTATCAATGTCGGTGTTATCAACACCATCTTCTTCACCTCCAGTGATACCGATTTCCATTTCAAGTAAAAGATTAATTTTACTCATACGTTCAAGATATTTCTTACATATAGCGATATTTTCATCCTTTGGTTCTTCAGATAAATCCAACATGTGAGAACTGAACAAAGGTTCACCGTGTTTTTTAAAGTATTCTTCATCAGCATCCAACATTCCATCAAACCATGGCAAAAGTTTTTTAGCACAATGATCAGAATGTAAGATAACAGGTCTAATAAAAATAAAGAATATTATTATCGTCATTATTTAAAGAAATATAATTGATTAATTGATAATAATAAAAATTTTACTAACATTCCGTATTCCTTGGAAACAATTCTAATATGATGAGCAGCAGCAACAGCACCAATAATACTGGCCTTTTGATTTTCATTACTCAAACCTTTACCGGCATAATAGGCAGAACCACCCTGAGATAATTGAATAATAAGTGGTGCTTTAATGTCTCTGGCAGCCTCTAAGGCAGCATTGGCAGTAGATGAACTGGTAACATTTACAGCTGGAATGGCAAAACCATTTTCCCTTGCATATTGTAATACTTTGCGAACATTATCACCAGTAATAACTCCAGCTGGAATTCCAAGCTCTTTTAAACCCATTTTTATATTTTATATTTTATTTATTATTTCAAAAGAATAAATCGTTAAAAAAACGAATATTATTTATTTTTTTTTAATTATTAATAAAAACTTTAAATAAAAAGTGGTTAAGCTGAAAGAGTTAATCTAATCAGTCAGTGTATGGAAATCGACTGCGCCATATATTAACATACAAATTCGTGTAATTATTTTACAAAATCTGCAACTAGTTTCAAAATTTTATACCATATATATATACACTATAAACAAAAATTTTACCACCCCTTTTAAATATATTATCCTATTATAATTTTTTAATTTCTTGACTAAATTTATTCTATTTGATCCTGAAATTCCCGATATTTCTCTAAAAATCTAAACCAATAATAACAAATTTCTCAAAAAGAGTTTATTTATTTAAAAAAAAAACTTTATTTTATAAATATTTTTATATTACGTGTATGTGATGATGTGATAAAGATCACATGTAATTCATCAGTAAAAAAATCATTCGAATTTATCTCTCCTTAATATTAAAGGTTTGTTTTTTTAGATTTTTAATTCATTGATTTGATTTGATTTTGGATTGCCTATTTATTTATTTATTTATTTTTTTTTACACAAAATTTCGCCAAAAGAAGCCAAATCTATATTTGAACTGATTTTGTTTGATTTATGATTATGTTTATGAAAAAACCCGCTTTTAGCAATAATAATGATATAGTTTATATGGAAAGTGTTGTAAAACAAAATGAAAAAAAACAACCAGAAATTAATCCGAATGGATTAAATCCGGGGCGTTGTCAATTAATTTTGTACCACACAGTTTTTTGTTGAATAAATACTATATACTAACGTAAATCTATCCTTATAAGGGTAGGCCTCGATATTTGCTTAAAACGACATGATGATTTTCGCATAACCACTTTACAAAATTTCGACAACATTCACCACAAAATTACGTATTTTATTGTGGATCTTATATCTTTTTACGCTTGACCCTTACTTTCGATGATAGTGATGAAGAAAAAAACCTACGAACGAGAAACCAAGAAAGAGGGTAAAGAATGAGTAGTGGAATACAAAAAACGTGACATATTAACCAATGCTGATAAAATGGATGAGCAAATAATTTTTAAATTTCTGCTTTACTATTAATAGAATACTGTCTGTTTTTGGATTCTGCCAAGGTAGCAGCAGCATAAGCGTTCTATTATATCTACGTCCCTTTTCCCCATTCAATAACCTGAGCGTATGGATTATATTCGATAAAAAGCAACGAAGCCAGCGTCCACCCTTTTCGATAATTGAAAATCTAGGGCCTTGGCCATCAGCCTTAATTACAAATGACTTAGGAATGCACAATTAGAATTTACCAATACGATTCACGACAGTCACATTTTTATTTCAGGTATTTTATCACCTAATATGACACCTTTGAGGAACAAATATTCATATTTTTCCTTTTGGTCCAATAACAATCGACTGGTAATTTGTCTTGAATTTAATTAATAGATCATCAAAGGAATGGATGGGTATCAAGAATCTATTTAATTAAGGTTTCGTAAATATTTTTTTATTTTTTTCCTCCAAAGTAACGTAGAGTCAGATTTTCTCTGATATAAGTTTTTTAGAAGAAGATGGAAGGACACCTACATCCATAAAAGATGAAGAAGAAGATGGAAGTGTATCTTCGTTCATAATCATTGAAGTTACCCGAAGAAAATATTTTTTCGTCGCCTTCAAAAATATTATTTATTTTATTCCCTGTGTCGCGAGATAGTCTCAAGGTAAGGTTTGAAAAATATAAATTACTCGTATGCAAATTTTGGGTAGACTTATTTGGTAAATATGGAAAAGATGGAATATTAAATTTTTTTTTTTTGTAAAGAATTCTCTATAAAAGCATTGTTGATTTTTACCTCTTGATTACTATTTATATAGTTTTAGGGAGTTAACTCCACTTGGAAACCAAGGGTTAATCCGGGGATGTCAACAAATGTTTGTCGATAATCCAATTCGGAAATAATCAAAAAATAACCGATGATCTAAAAATTTTCCAGAAAAAAAAAATAAACAAATCACCCAATTGTAAATATAAAAAAGCCTCATTTACCACTAAAACCTGTCGGAACTCCTAGTATGAAAAAACATTTAAAAGATGTAGAAGTATCTGGTAGTGATAATGATGCTCACGATCTAACTTCTTCAAAAATAAAATCCCCAACCATACCAGTTGTAAAACCTCCTTTACCACCAAAACCTGCCAAGACTCCTAGCATGAAAAAATATTTTAAAGATATAGATGTATCTGGTAGTGGTATGGATGTTTATGATAAAACTTCTTCAATATTAAAATCGCCAACTTCACCAACCGTAAAACCTCCTTTACCGCCAAAACCTGTCAGGACTCCTAGCATGAAAAAGCATTTAAAAGTATCTGGTAGTGGTAGGGTTGCTCATGTAATTTCAGGGGATGAAGAAGATGATGTTGACAGCTTTTCTTCAGAGGATGATGGCGACAATTACATAGAAAGAATTGGTATATATATTTATAGATATCTCTTAATTTATATATTAATTCATACAATAATGTGTTATTTATTATATATAGATAGATATTTAACTTGTATATTTTTAAATAAATATGTATATGCTTAATTTCATTAATATATATATATATAAATAACAATATAAAAATCATTTAACTAATTATTCTATTTATATATTTATATCAATTTTTAGGAAGGTCATTATCATCTTTAAATGTACCACACATACCTCGTCAACGTTCATCTTCTGCTTCTAGATCAAGAAGAAGGCGAGCAACATTGTCAGACTCATATACAACTGATTCACATACAGATGAAGATAGTTCTTATTCTTCTCGCACAATATCTCCGTTAACCTCTGCCACCTCATTCTTCAACACGATATCATCACCTTTATCAATGCCAACTTTATTTTATAGAAAGACAAAAATGATAAGCTTAGTTCCTGAAGGAGCTGTTGATCCAAATAATTTGGTACCTGCCGCTGCAATGATGGATCTGGACAATAGTAATCAAGCACCAATCTCGCCAACTACTCAGCTTAACGATCATATTCCTGAAATTCCTGCTCCTCCTCTTATAACGCAGCATACTCGATTGAAACAAAAAATAAAAACGCTGGAAACGAAAATATCCGAGTATCGTGCTGTGTATAAAATGAGAGAGGCAGGCCATCATAATGATGATGATGATGATGACGACGATGACGACGACGACGACGATGATGATGATGATGATGATGATGATGATGATGATGATGATGATGGTGATGATGATGGTGATGATAATGGTGGTGGTGGTGATGGTGATGATGATGATGGTGATGATGATGATGATGATGATGATGATGATGATGATGATGATGATGATGATGATGATGATGATGATGATGACAATGATAAAGGAGATCAAGAGATTGAAGATCCATTGTCTGAATTTACGACCGAGGAAATAAAAGAAACGATAGATAAATATGTAACGACTGTTGCGGGGCTTAAACGATCAATCACATTGTACAGAGAAATTATATATAAAGTTGCATCTGACCCTGATATTTTGGAGTTTGCTCCACATATGATAGCTTATCAATTGACATTAATTGATTCTGCTATTTTTCTAGAAATTGATCCTCATTCACTGTTAGCTCATTCCACAAAAAATCCTGATCCAAAAATAATAGCATCCACGGATTTTTTTAATTATTTAACACGTATTGTAGAATGTTCTATTTTGTCACCGGTTGAAGCCTCTTCCAGAGCATTGGTTATACATCATTGGGTTAAAGTGGCGGCTAAATTACACGAATTGCATAATTTTCAAACTTTAAAGGCTATCCTTTCAGCTTTAGGTACGCCACCAATAAAAAGATTGAAGAGGACATGGACATGTATCCCAAAAAAAAGTATGGTGAAATTAGATTCGTTAAATGAAATGATGAGTGAGTCTAGTAATTATGAAAAATATCGAGAGACAATACAACCTGAAATATTTTCAAGAAAACCTATTGTACCATTTTTGGGAACATTCATAATGGATGCAACATATTTATCAGCAGCTATAAGAAACTCAGCGTCATCATCCATCAATTCACCATTGATTTCACTTTCCATGACTAGCACCACCACCAACAGCGATGATTCTGATAGTGGTAATGGTAATAAAAATAACAACATTACAGGTAATAGTTGTTTTACACATCCTATATCACGATCAATGTCATTACCCTCTTCACCCGAAAAAATTCTTACTTTACAAGATGATTCACGAGTTCAAGAATTACTGCATACAATGTTTCGATATCAAAATGGACCAAAATATCAACCAATCCCGCCAATGTCGTATATAAAAGCGTCAACAAAACATCATTTTCGAGCGACAAGTCTTGGGGCTGCTTTACATCGTGGAAGTGTGATTAGATATCACAATAGAAATGATGACGATAATGAGATTATCAAGGAAAAACAACAAATTATAACGCATTATCTATTGACTCGGACATGGATTCCAGAAAAAAGTGTTGATGAATTAAGTTTGCAGCGCGAACCGCATAAACAAAAAAGTAGCCAAGATGGTCGGGCACTTAAAACATCATCATGGGGTGGTAGTAGTAGTGGTGGTGGTGGTGGAAAATCAAATGCAAGAGCTACTGTTTGAATTGATTGTATTATTATTTTTTATTTATTATAAAAGACTCTTTTTTGTATATATTTCATGTTTTTTTTTTAAAAAAAATTGTATATATATTACGTATACATATCCATTTATATATATTTTTTATTTTTTATTTGTGCACACCAATTTTCAGATAGAATTTTAAATTTTTTTTTTTTTGTCACTTTTAAAATCAAAATTGAAAAATTGAAAAGGTATCAATAAATCTTATAAAGATTGTCACAAAGGTGAAATGTCTAAAAAAACTTTTCTGTGAATAGTCAATTTACTGATGGTGATTTAATATTTTGGCATATTTCTCAACAGGTTTTTATTTCATTTATTTTATTATTTTCTCTTTAAACAATTATTATTTAATAAAATTAAATGAAATGAAATAAACAATAATAATAAATGATTTTATTTATAAATTTAGACAGATGATGAATCCCATGATTTACATTATATGGTACAATTTCCTGCACTTATGTTGTTAAACAATCAATTGGAAAATGGCACCAATGCCACCGCCTTTTTCTTTCCCTCCTCCTCCTCTTCCTCCTCATATACAAATCCTAATCAATTCCAAGAAAGAAGTTTGTGATTTGTAGAGTGATATTGATAAAGGAATATATGTCAAGAAAATAAGTTTTTTTTTTTAAAATTACAAAACATACTAATGGTCATTTGTGAATTGGATTTATGATATTAGGAAGAAAGATAATTTCAGATATATATATATTGAGGGCTGAAAATTTTACAAATTAATGAAATCTTAAGAGTAAAAAAAAGTCATGATGAGATAATAGGCATAATTAGATGTAAAGTTTTTTTTCTTTGGTTTTTTTATTTTATTAAAAAAATTTGTATTATTTTTTTACTTCAAAAAAAATTTTTATAAAATAAAATTTATAAGAGAATGTGCCTCTTGGATAGGCAAAAATAAAATTGGGTGACACCTGTTTCAGAAATGTATAATTATAAAGAAGAAATAATTGGGATCAAAGTAGTTTGATAAGCTTGTGGAAATTAGACCTTGTCAGTAGCAGTAGTTGAAAAAGTAATGAAAAAAAAAATTAAAGCTATGTGTAATATTGAAAATGATTTTTTAAAAAAAAAAATCTTTTTATATGCATTACATGAATTTAGATATATGAAAAATTTTGACATGATTATTATTATTTTCAACAAATGTTACACCTTGAACTATTTCATCATTATTTTTTAATAATTCAACATCTTGTTATTTTTATTATTTCCAGTAGATCTCGACGCATTAACTGATCAATATCATCATTACTCAACAATCCAACATCATTAACTTGAATATCAGTTAATTTTATTTTTAACATATTATTACCAGGTATCAATCATCAACTTCATTAGAACCATCTGGTGCCTAGCTTTTGTGGTTTTAGTGATAATTATTTTTATTTGTCTTCAACTTGATCGTTATTTAATAATTTTGAAAGTTCCTTCTGAATAGTGAAATTTTAATCATTCTTTGAATCAGTTACTGCCATCTTGTTGTTTATTTATTGGTACCAATCAATGCCTTCATCAGTATCTTTCTTCTTTTTTTCTTATCAGTCATCCGTGATGTCACAATGAGTGATTTTGTTATAGCGATCGACATAGCGCTTTTCCGTACAACAGACTTTAAAACCAAAGAACGAAAAAGCATGATCAAACATCCTTCGTGTTTCTATGTAAACATATTTTCATAGTTTCGCTCTTTCAAACACAATCTTTTATACTTCATTAGCTTTTTTCGTTCAAGAGAAATAATTATTCGAAAAGGCACATACTTTTTGCCTTCGGAACCACCATCCTTTTCAGGGAGAAGACTCATTGAGATCTTTTTAACATTAACAGGTAGAGTATAATATTAGCTTTTGAAAAATATATATTTATTAGGCATTTTATTTTTTGGGGAAGAAATTAAAAGCGAAAAACGGTATACATTATTATTTACTAAATTTATTTAAATATTTTAAATTAATTAAATATTTATGATTCTCTAGCATTTTTAGATTTTCTTTTAACGTGGTAATACCAGTAGTCTCTTACTCTTTTGTTAGTCCATGAACCATTTACTTTAACCAATTCTTCATTTATTCTCATACAAACTTCTTTTGGCAAATCTGTGTAATTAAGAAGCTCCTGAAGAATTATTTGTTCTTCTTCTGTATATTTTTGGCTTTTAGGAAGTGGAGATCTTACCTCTTGTACTCTTTCATTACTTGCTGCAGATATTGTCTCTTCTATTACAGCTGGTAAGTCATTATTTATTTGTTCTGTATCATCATTGTTAATTTGATTTTGTTCTTTTTCATATTCCTTTTGCTCACTTACTTTAATATGAGGTAGATTTTTTTTTCGCCTACCAATTTTGGATTGTGGTTCTGTTTTATAAATATCTTGATGTAATATACGATTTAACGTTCAATTCCTATTTCATAACTTTCAAACATTTTTATAAAACCAGATTCATTTATTTCTTTAGCATTTTTAAAAAAATCATGCATTTTAGGATCTGGAAGATCAAACGCCTTGTCTAATTCATTTACAATTGACCATAGGACTTCTTTTCTTTGCATAGCTGCATGACTACCTTTCACTACAGTATTGTCTTCAACAAATTCTGAGAAAAGCAGCATCATACGTTCATGTTCTGATTGAACTGACTTAATTTGCAGTGTCAAGTTCTTGAGGTCTGTAGTTTTACCAGTAATATTTTGCTTTATAAATTTTACACCAAAAAATTCTAATGCCTCATCAAATGAAAAAAAATGTCCTTCTCTGGTTAGATTAACTGAGCTCACATGGGTAAGTAACTCTTTCTGTTCAGGATTCCGGTGAATTGACTCAAGAAAAAATACTACTGATTGAGCATAATTGCTTTTTCCAGTTATAGGGAACAATGGAGCAAATGCAGCCAAGTTCTCTATCTGCATTTCAAAATTTCCTCTACGTATACCTAGTTGATGGCATTTCCAGAATCCAAAATAACGGTAGTATAAAAACCATATTCTTAATACATAATTATTTCCTTCAAGAATATCATCTACTGTCATATTTCTTTTTAATACATATTGATTAATAGATATTCCAACAGCTGCCCAAATTAATTCTAAAACACAAGATGTTGCTCTATAATCAACATTTTTTTCCAATGTTCTAAAAAACGAACACCAAGTGCAGCTGCTATATTATAAATTCCATTACCACTAAATGCTGTGATTAAGGCACTACACATAGCTTTGGATGTATGCCATCCACCTAAAATAAAACATCCAGTCATGTTATCATTATGGTATGATTTGGTTCTTCTAAAGATTGCTTCATCACAAGCCATGTCAATTATATGTTGTCCAAGATCATCAAAGTACTTATTTATTGAACTAAAGACATTTTCATTATTTTTAGGAGCAGGTCCTGCATCAAGAATGACAACATTTGGTGGTGGAACTTGACAGCCTATTTCAATTTTGGATGCAATTTTTGAATTAATATCCTGAACATCAAAACCACCTTCATAATTTTCAATAAGCTGTTGAAATATCATGTCAATATTTTTTTCCCATTTACTAATTAAAGATGATTTTCCAAATAATGCATCACTGTGAGTCTGTGGATGATTGATTTGTAAAAATGAAGCTACTGGAAATGGAAGTTGAAATTGAAAGACCATCCTGAGTGTGGCATGTGCAGAATTTCTGGTTACATCATATATGTTTCCATAATGAAAGGTTGTATCCTTAAAATCAATGTTGTCTATAACTGCAACATTCCAAGTTTCAGGGGTTCTGAGCAATTTTGATCGAGGATCTACATTTTTCATTCTTTCTTTTTGTTTTTTTACTTCATGATCCCATGAATATGAGACAACATTTACTGTGTGGAGTATTGATTGCAATATTGAAATCATTTTAGGTCTTCGACAAAGTGATGCCATGGTATGAGTTAACCATATTTTCCATGTTGGAAATGCAACTGTAAGAATCATTGAAGCAATAAAAACAGTAATTTTCTGAATTGAAGAAGGATCAAAATCTTTTGGAAAATGTCCACGACTCTTTTGTTTTCTTTCAGCAACTTGATGCTTTTTTTGTATTATAGAACCAATCATGCCATCAAAAAAATTAATCAAGGTTTTGGGGAATGAATTATAGTACTGATTTAGGGAAGTTGGATTTTCTAAAATTGAAAGATTTTGTTTAAGTTCTTTGTGTGAATTCCAAATGGAATTACCCAATTGTTTTCCAAAATTTTCACAATTATTAACATTTAATTCTTCTATTGGTAGATTAATATTGGAGTCATGTAATTTCATGGCAGTGTTTACGAGGAACACACTAGGAGTTGCTGCTTTTGATAATAATTGATCGGTAGAGTTTGTTGTTTCCAATAGTGGCATTAAATGCAAAAGTACTTTTCTTTTTTTATCATCATTTTCAGATTCGGAAATTTTTGTAATCCATTGTGCAAATAATTTTAAAGAAAAGGTCACATCATTTCTATGTAAGTCATCATTAATACATGAATTTGATTTTCCTGATCCTTGACGTTACAACAGACTTTAAAACCAAAGAACGAAAAAGCATGATCAAACATCCTTCGTGTTTCTATGTAAACATATTTTCATAGTTTCGCTCTTTCAAACACAATCTTTTATACTTCATTAGCTTTTTTCGTTCAAGAGAAATAATTATTCGAAAAGGCACATACTTTTTGCCTTCGGAACCACCATCCTTTTCAGGGAGAAGACTCATTGAGATCTTTTTAACATTAACAGGTAGAGTATAATATTAGCTTTTGAAAAATATATATTTATTAGGCATTTTATTTTTTGGGGAAGAAATTAAAAGCGAAAAACGGTATACATTATTATTTACTAAATTTATTTAAATATTTTAAATTAAATAAATATTTATGATTCTCTAGCATTTTTAGATTTTCTTTTAACATGGTAATACCAGTAGTCTCTTACTCTTTTGTTAGTCCATGAACCATTTACTTTAACCAATTCTTCATTTATTCTCATACAAACTTCTTTTGGCAAATCTGTGTAATTAAGAAGCTCCTGAAGAATTATTTGTTCTTCTTCTGTATATTTTTGGCTTTTAGGAAGTGGAGATCTTACCTCTTGTACTCTTTCATTACTTGCTGCAGATATTGTCTCTTCTATTACAGCTGGTAAGTCATCATTTATTTGTTCTGTATCATCATTGTTAATTTGATTTTGTTCTTTTTCATATTCCTTTTGCTCACTTACTTTAATATGGGGCATGCTGCAACAAAATCAGACAAAGTGAACATTGGTATTATCAAAGATTTCAGGGATCAAAATTTGTAATGTGATTATAATTTGTTATCTTAAGTGATATATAGAATTACCCTTATATAAAAATAGTTAATATGAAACTCATTTATATCAGATCTACTATGGAACCAAAAAATTATAGTACCATCAGAAGTATTTTGAAAAAGGAACAAGGTGAAAAAATTGCTCCTTATATTTTTAAAATAAATGATACTCAAACACTGGAAGCTTATCTAAGAAAAGAAAAGATTACCTATGAAATTTACCAAGAAAGAAAAATAATAAACATTAAAAAAAGAAGCAGAATGAAGGTGTATTATTACCTAACAAAAAGCAGAAATCCTTAGAAGAAAAATAATTTTATAGTTAAAATGAATTTCAATTTATACACAGGGAAATTTCCTCAATTACTTTTTATTTTCAATCAAGATCATCTTTTAGTCTCTTTAACTTCAATTTGAGCAATTTGACCATTCTGTTGATCTTTTAATGTCTTGTTTTCCTCTTCTAGTTGCTTAATTTTTTCTTCTAAACTCTTTATCTTATCCAATAACTCTTGTTTCTGTTTTTTACTTCACTCTTCAGATTTTTCCTGAAACTTGGTTACTTCTTCTCTTTCAATTTTTAATTCTTCTTTGGTAATTGATAACTCTTTTCTAGTTCTCTGGTTTTATTTTCTAGGCGAAAACTGAAGGCTTGTGAAAGTAGTTCTTTGTCAGAAAGTGGTTTAGTTGATTTAGCTTTTAAATGACTACAAAAACATCTGTTTCTATTCCTTTTTAACCTACCACATTTCTCACATCATGGAAGAGTATTATTATCATAATCTTTTTTACATTCACCACAGATAAAGACAATGTCAGAATAACCATCAGGAGTATTATGAGCCACCATTTGATGAGTAGCAGGAGCAGTATCAAAATTAAGGAGAGTTGGGTCATCAAAATCTAGAAAACAGAAGTTACACTCTTGTTCATCTCCCTGGGCTATTTCCAGAATTCTATATTCTAATCTCATATTGGTTTACTTGTTCTTTTGAACAATAAAAGTCTGGAATTTCTCTTTAGCCTTTTCTTTTACTTTACTTATTAATTTTTTGAGTTTGCATAATCTATTTTCTTTTTGTTTCTTTGGTAAAGATGGTAATTCTTTGGTTGTTAAATAATCTTTTCAGTTTATTTTCTGATTTTTAGCAGCTAAATTATTTTCTAATAAATCTATTTGGTCTTGAAGTTTGCCCATTGCAGCATCATGCTTCAACACAGTTTCAAACATTTGTCATTTTCTCCATTCCATGGCTTTATTCAGTGCTTTTTTAGCCTCTTCTCGCTCCATTCACACTTCATCATCTAACTCTTCTACTAAACTTATGTTTTTATAAAGGTGTTTAATTAGTGAGGAAAGTGAGATATGTTTTATTAACCCAAAATTTATCA